ATTATTTTAATTATCTTATTTTAAATACATTGTGATTTGACGGAATAACCAAATAATTTAATTTTAATTTAATAAGTCACAATATGACGCAACTACACTATCTTATGAATATACCTTCAGTTGTGTAGATTTGGCAATAATGTAGAATCAGTCCAAGCTGCAGTTGCTGTGGCCATTGCGTTAGTGTAGCTGCCACCCAACAGATTTGTGTGCCTGCCATGTTATAACTATAAAGTGTCAGAATTTAAAAAGTATGAGTTTGCGATGGCCTCCAATAGCATAAGAGTTACACAAAATTTCTTTAAACCCAGTCAAGTGTATAAGAAAATTGGAACAGTGTACACACAGCCAACAGGGTGATCAGGTAAATACTCTCTTTCCTTAAGAAAGGAAAGTAGGTGAAAAATTTGTTCAATGCACAAAATATGATTGTGTGCATGCACGTATATATGTTTGATCTACAACATTTGGTAAGAGTTCCAATGAACCAGTGTGAGACATAATATACAACTGGTACATCAACCACATCCACCTCCAAAAAATTAGAAGAGAACCTGGTGAATTTTAGGAATCACTCACTGAAGTACAGCTGTCTGAAAAAACATGTTAGTTTGTATAGCTGTGTAATGTTAAGAAACTGATGGTCATTGTGGTTTTGCTTTTTACAATGACATTCTTTGTTATAAGCCCTAACCATTCTGTCATGGTTACATTTTAATTATAAATATGGCCTTGAAATTTATGTATTAATCTGATACGAGCTTGAAAAGTATTTCTCAAAAGTAGTGTCATCACATCCTTAGTGTATTATTTAATACATATCACCATACAATTAAAGAGGAAAACTTACTTGCTCGAAAAACCAAAATATTTTGCCTTCTTTTGTTTTTGCATCTCTTAGCTTTGGATGCAGCCTAGACTGTACAAGCCTTTCTGCTTCTGATTCAAGAATATTGTAGCCTGTTGGAAGTTCAACTTCAAGTACTGACAGACCACTCATAGGAGGATCCTCCAGGAGCCAACTGCATTAGAAAATTGAAAATCAAAACATAAGATAGAGAAAAATATCAACCCCTTCATTGCCATACCTGAAGCACGCTATGCATGCAAGGTATACAATGCAACCGTCCTTAAAGTTTTCAAACATTAAGTTATAACAATTACTGTAATTACTATTTAATATTCATGTGTAAAACATATTTCCCACCACCCCTGGTCACCAGAAGACACTTGAATGTAGCACTACAAAATGGCAGACACATCCACATACAGGGGATCAATCTAATTCACACTGACATATGCAGTTATTTTTCGTTATTGGTAAAGTTGATATAGTTAAGAAATAATAGAAATTACATGAACTCTGGTGCAAGTATCGGTAGGTATCATCCTTCCCTAGACTTAATTGGCAGTTAATCCAGTATATATTAAACAACAGAGCACATACTTTCCATACTTTTTAAAGTGTAACAGTCTTTTAAGAAAGGTATTTGAAAGTGACAGTGAATTAAAATACTAAGACTAAATCAAATACAGTACAGATCTCAACTAAACCACAAATATGGGCCATGGCTTTTGAATTTCCCTGGATACACAGTGAAATGAGCATAGCAAGGAAGGATGATACTATGAACCAAGAAGTATGTGCGTGAACTGGGTAGCTTCTGTTACAAATCTTATGGAGAAATAAAAGGTCTTCAATATCTGAATAAAAACTGACACTTTAAGGAGATATTTGTTCCTGGGAAATATATACAGGTTCTTGGGCATTGTAATTTTACTGAGTTGAACTCCATGCAAATATACAATATTTATCTGAATGGAAGATTATTTTATTTTTTTGTAGTGTTCTGTCTGATGACAGGTCCATATATTATGAACAGGATCCTTCCAACCTCTTCAGGTTGTCAGGGACCTGCTCATACATATATACATTCGTGGCAAAGATGATCAGAAGTGGTTTGCCATTGCCTTCTTCTGTGTGTGAGTGGAGTAATTGTTGGGATGCCACGGAGAAACATACATATATACATTTTTGGCAGAGATGATCAGAAGTGGTTTGCCATTGCCTTCTTCTGTGTGTGAATGGAGTAATTGTTGGGATGCCACGGAGAAACCGGGGAAGCCCCCGGAGGAAAACTCCGTGATGCCTAGACCACGGCCTTGCCCAACACAAGTTATAAATTTGAGCACCACCGGGAATTGAACCCGGGACCCCAGGCTTACAAGGCTAGCGTTCTGACCACTAGACCACTGTGGCAGGGACGGAAGATTATTACAAATCTAAAATAACCCCCACTAAGAAACATATCTGGACAGAAAAACTTATTTTGTAAGTTAATTCCATACAGTTACCACAAACAAATGTGTCAGATTTCATGTTTTCATGGTGACGAGTGTGAAGATAGCTGTCTTCTAGGATGATGAGGCATATAGTTTGGTAGTTAGATGAGCACCCATCACCCTGATAATGGAAACAGTAAGCTCCTCTCAAACATCAGTCAATATCTACCAGACTATATGGTACATCTCAGAAGACATTTCAAATATTTGAAAACATGTTAAACAGTACATTTATGAGTCAGGTCTCTTCTTTGTAATAATCTTGAAGTCACTAGTTTTTATCCAGTGTTACTGATCAGTCCCACTCTCTTCACTATTATCAGCTTCAATGTCTTCTTTTCACATTTATTGTCATCATTCCCAAATTCATCACCCTTCCTATGGTATATCTTTGTGGGAATTTACCTCTTTCAGTTCATGGTTTCAGTGATAGCTCATGGCTCCTGACCTTGAAATATTTCTGCACCTCTTGCACAGCTCTCAGTTCATAGCTTCAATGATACTTTAGGCAAATACGTGGTATCTCATAGCTCCTTGTCTCTAACTTATTATGCTTATAGCGTAGGATAGAAATGTCATATAAAGCATGTTCCAAAAATGAGTACATTCCTCCTAAGGTATTGTAGGCATTTTCTGGAATCAAAAGTCCTTTCCAGTTTTGCTAATAATTTTTCATTGCGCAGATGTGAGGTTGTAAAGTTTGTCACATTTGATGGACTTGAGATGCAAAACAAACAACTGTTCTGTGTTACTTAGATTCTGTTGGATTAAAATAAAACCTTTCACAGAGTAAGTGCTCAAAATGGCTATCAGTGATTACTTAACACTATATGATGCATAAGGGATGCCTGCACCTATTCCAATATCCCTGGTGTTGTTCCTACGACTTGTGCTGCATCTTGCACTTGGTGACAAGGGGCATCCTGGTACTCATCTGTGTGGTGTACACAAGACTCTTGTAGTGTCTCCACATAAGGAAGTCCTCCAGATGTAGTACACGTCATATGTCCCACATATGACGTGTACTACATCCAGGGACATTGGAACATGTGTTGTCATCTCTTATGCAGCAAGCAGAGAGCTGCATGATGGCTGATGGCCTTACACTGAGCTTTACATTAGAGAAACCACTGTCACTGAATAAAACTATATCAGTAGCACTACCATGCACTATGTGCAATGTATGTTCAAACATAAGCACAGAGAGAGTTAAATGTAATTATTGGCTTACATTTTGTTCTCTTATATTAAACATGGTTAATGAAATCAAACTTACCGAAAACAGCTTTGAATAGTAATGTAAGATTTATTTCTGAATGTGGAATAAAATTCTTTTATTTCTAAGTTAAATGTCTCAGTTTTTGCAAACTCCTTGAATCCTTCATAATCAACACCAAAACTGATGTCCATCTGTACAACTGCCTGTCCGCTGCCTTTAGCGATTACATTTAAATGACCCCACACATTTGGAACCTGAAGAATTCAATAAGTAATGTCAAATTATTCACTTTAAATCAGTTTCCAAAATACATCAGTAATACTTATGTGGTAAACGTTTCCTTTCACATAAAGGTGCCCTACAACTTATACAGAGTGAAATGAAATTTGTACACAACCTCTCCATAGTGTAATTTCTTGTTAAAAAAATAAATCGAAAATATACTATTGCGAGCTTGTGCATGATTTTTGTTTCATCCAGCTGTATGTGAGTATGATTCATTCATTATCAATCTTTAAATTTTTCATTTGGCACCACTTAACCTATGTAGTTACACAGCTTCATTAAATAAACCAAGAAATAACATATATGACAAAGATGGTCCACCATCTGGAATAAATGGCAGTAAAGTAACAATATGATATATCAGTATGACTTACGTCAAATATATGAATAGCGGTGAAGCTTGTATTGTCTATATGTACAGTTTTCCTGAAACCTGCAGTACTTGGGAGTTCCAGTGTGATGGACATGTCTGTAATGTCCTTCAGACGACCTCGGAAGGCATACTCAGTCAGAGCTTGTAATGCAATCACTGTATCCTGAAAGAATCAATCTCTCATGAGATAAAAATTATTTTTCTCTGAAAACATTTAATATATTAGGCATTCTTAGTCCATATATTTAAGTACTGGTAGGCCATAATCGGTTTTACCTTAAATTGCCTAATGGGAAGATTACACTTGGGAAAACTAGGCATAGATGGGAGGATGCTCAAGAATGCGGTCAACAGCAGGCTTTTGTGAAAAGCGTTGCACCTTTTGGGTTCCTTAAAAGCAAGGAATTTCTTATCTATCTGAGATTTTAAGGAAGAATCTGTAAGACGGAATTAGCAGTAATATTATAATATCTTTACAAAATCAAGGATAAACTTTAAACTCGTGTATATAATGGAAAAATGTATGGATTAAAATTACTTAAAACTTTCCAAATACTTGAACTCAAGTTGTATCTTAGCAAATTATTTCCATCTGTGATTTCAGGTTCTCATAGCAGCAAAAATGTTGACTCCAATCTTCTGGGTTGTAATGCAGAGAAGTTTTACAGGTGGTTATCAATGTTTCAGAAAAATGCTGGTAACAATCCACAAGATTAAAGGGTGCCACAACTCAGAAAACCACAATTGACAGTTTCATCACAGTGACAATTTCTGATGATCAACATAGCCACCATATTTTAATATAGGTGTGCCATACAGATACATTTTTATACATCGGAGCAGTTAGAAAAACTGTTTTGCAGTAAAGTATCTCTGACCTAACTTGCAAATGGCAAAGTAATGTTTCCAAGTTTCACACCCATACAAAATAACAACAATAAGTAATCATATAATAAATAACCACAACAATAACAAAATTATACTTACATATATTTTTTTGTAAATTAGACTATTTTTAAGTTGACAAAATAAACCAGTTAAGTATACAGTTCACTTCACAAAGCAACTCTTACATTGTACTTCCCCAAGCTCTCTATTTATTTACCTTTCATCAAATTTTCAATCTAGAATGAGGCATATTTTTCTATGAGGCTTCATTTAATGGTAAGTATTTAGGGAAAATTTAAGAAAACTGAATTCATGACATTTAAAGCTACAATCCAAAAATTCATATCACAAAATCTTATACTCTTTAACATTTCTATGTCTTCAAAATCAGCCAATATGCCCAGCTTTCCACAGTACTAACCGTTGTTGAGATGAAGGCGCTGCTACCCATTCTAACTGAAGTCAGCCATTTCACAATCTTTTCAGGAACAAAAGTGTCTGTGTCCCTTATAACGTACACCATAAGAGCATATGATGTGGCTTCCACTGCCAAGGAGACATCTGTCTCATAGTCTCGAGGAGAAATGAAAGGCCTCTGATTCTCATATCGAATTCTGTTTGCGGGCACTGGCACTCTAGACCAATATGGCAGACCATCTGTAACATTATTATTGGCCAATCTACACATTCATACTTCCAAGTTACTTAACTAATCTGTAATTGATAATGTTCATGACTAGAATTTGCTGGAGGCCAGTTACAATGAACTAATTATTTCATACTCTTTTACTACACAGATGTGGGCAAATCATGGTTTTTAGAGTAGGACACAACAGATTTAAATACCAACTTTCTAACAACAGCAACCAATAAAAATATGTTTCATCATCATCATCATCATCATCATCATCATCATTGGCTCTACAGCCCTGTGTGGGCCTTGGCCTTCTTCAAATCTTCTTCCATTCTTTCTCATTCACAGACAATCTGTTTGCCAGTCTGCTGTGAATGAGTCCATCCATCACTTGCTTCATCTGATTTCATAACAAGTTGCTTTTTACAGGGTAGAATTGTCAGCCCCACGCCCAAACCCCAACCTAGAGGACCAGACCTCTGTATTTACAGCCCCCAGAGGTAGGGTGGCCCAGCTATACCCCCAGGCACTGAGTAGCTTGTACCTCAGGGGTGCCAGTCCCCATACCCACTGATGGGTCCCTGAGGGGAAAAATATGTTTCACATTAAAGAATTAACAGAATAAAATTAGTATTTCTGGTTTTTATATTCTTGCAGTCTCCATTAATTTTTCAAAACATTGAAGATTAAGATGCACATAAAACAACCATTTTATCAGTAATTTTGTTTGTGATCTCTTACAGGGCAGAATGCAAAAACAGTTAAAAATACAGGGCTGAAAAAATAATTTGTATAAAGGAGTTTCATTGTATGGGGAATGGACAATTGCATAACAAGAAACTTACTTACAGGAATCTTTAGGACAGTTAGATCAAGGTTCTGACATACAGCTCAATGGGTAAACAAGAAATGTGTACAGGGCTTTAGTTGGAAAACATCCAGAAAATATCAGATTATAGCATCAAAATGACTGGGTCTTCTAAAAGTAGGTAATGAAAAGTCACATTGGGTGAAACTTGTTCTGGATCATGTCCAATTGACAGTGTGTGGTATGGGTGGTATCTTTGTAAGAGAGTTAATTAGCTTGTTGCTAGTCTTCTTTAATTTATAATTCCACTTCATTATTCCCTTGTATGATGGAATTTTATAACCATAAAGCATGTAACTGGTGACATATCAAAATTACAGTGATGTAAATTCTGCTGATCAAAGCACACACATAACTCACAAATTCAGTAGTATGCATTGATTTCTAATATATGCATCATCAATGAGTGTGTTGAAAATATGATTACTTGTTCTTTATTCTCACATATTCTTAAAAATACAGTAATGAAATAAGGAGCTAAATATTTCATTTATCAGCTGAATTTAATATTCTATATAAAGGAAAGATAGGGAGGCAAAAGCCCACCTCGGGCTTTAGCACTGAGGAGGACGAAGAAGAAGAATATAAAGGAAAGGTGAATTGAAGCTGGCTGTCTTCTGGGATGTTGTGCCATGTAGTCCAGTAGAAGTTTACTGACGTTTCATTGGTCCTTGCCACCTCCATCATCAGGGCAATGAGTAAGCAGCACATGTGGAAATGGTTAGATTGACCACAAGTCTTCTAAACCTCACACTGTTCCCACATACACACAGCTTACTCAATGTCCTGATGATGGAGGCAGCAAGGACCTCTGAAATGTCAGCAAACTTCTACCAAACTCCATGGCCTAACAACCTAAAACACAGACATCTTCAGACTTACCACTATTAATACCTCCAATCTACTAAAAGGTGAATTGTAAAAACTGTTTGGTATGGTAAAAATTGACAGCCATCTATGTGGACTCTAAGTTCACATTACCAGAAGTAAAGAATTAGATATAACACAATATTGCAAGAATTTATAGAGTACAAAACTAAGAAAATGTATGGAATGGTTCATTACTGTAAGTAAATAAATTATGCTGTGTAACTACAAAAGTTTGTGATCTTCCTATTTTACTTTGAAATTCCAGTACTTCAGTGCAATTATCAAATCAAACATAACCCCACATGCAACACAAATGATATCACAGGAAATCTGATTCACTGTAATTCATTTCCTCATCCCTCCAACATGGCAGGTGGTATGATATCTAAGGCCCTACAGAGAAATCAGCCTTTGTTCTACTCTAATTTTAAAGCCTGGTAATATTATATGGATGCTGTAGAACTTATGTAGGCTATTCATCATAAATTGTTTTTTTGGACTGATATTCAAGCAGCCCATAACCAGAGATTCAATCATCATACTGTTATTAATGATTACATCAATCTCCAAAGGTGATTAATTGGTACAAATTAGTTGTTATAATACTGTTTAGACTTCTTGTTCATACTGCATGTGCATGCTTTGGGTTTAAATTTGTACTGATTTTCTGTTATATTATATATTTATTTTAAAAGTTTATGTGTGGCTTGACTTTGTATTCATTATTTTTTTTTTACATTTTCTTCTTTATGTGGAAGATTAGTTAACCTTATAGGAACATAAAGTTACCAAAAATGGTAAAAATCTAGCTGAATGCTGGAGAGACCTGATTCATGTTTTGGTTACAACTACACTCCATCATACCTGCAACTTCCAGCTTTTTAGAGTGCAGAAGATTAAAGGCAAATTCCTTTTCAGTACTGTCACATAATGTAAGTGCATAAGTTGTGATAGCAATTTCATATGGATCAGTCAATGAAGACAATTGGTGTTCCAGGTACCTAGAACACAGAACACATGCCTCACTTAACAACTAATTTTGTTTTATAACCAAGCGACTTAATTTAAACGAAGTTATGGTACCAACCTGACAGCCTTAATACTTGCTTTGGCAGCCTCAGTTCGAATGCTTCCCTGCAACATCTGTGTCACTTCATGTATTGTAATTAGAATATGAGCAGTCAATGTAATGTTGTGATATTGTACTGAATTATTAAACCTGGTGGCAAACTGAAACAATGGAATGTTGTAATAATGTTCCATGAAGATTTGAAAGTTATATAAAATAATGTGTGCCAGAAATGTTTCACAAAAAACTGATAACTAATTTTAAAGAAAATGTATATACCATTATCTCTCTCCAAAACTGTATTTTCAATGCCAGCTGCACCAATGGATGATAAAAACTTTATAAAATAGTGAAAACCATGGCAATGGATATTGGAATCATTACTTTCCATTGAATGAATTCTTGTTGCAGGTCTTCAGCGTTTTAAAATGCTATTTCAACTGCTAAAGTATCAGACAGGATGACATACTGATTATGTATGTTGAACTTGAAATTAACCTAGCTGTCTTGTCCTGTTCCAAGGTAGGCTACTGTTTTAGAATTTGCCTTGAGGAACTCAGAAAAGCCATGAAATCTTAATCTGGATAGCATCTGCCTTGGGCAGATATGTTACTGACTGAAATGTTACACAAATAAAGAAATACATCCTTTTATCACAGATGAAAGATTTGATTCACGTGCTCATCAATGTACTCTCTCTTATTGTCTGGATAAGGAGTATCATTCTAAAATGTTAAGAACAGATCTGATACAGATTCAGTTCATAGAGTTTACTGTATTTCAGAGTAGATTTAGGGCATAATCTGATTCCTTCTTGGTCTCATTTAGTGCTTACATACTGGTCTCCCACATTTTTAGCTCACTTTATTTAAGCAAGTTATATTTCAAATGCATAGGTTTAACAGCACCAACAGTTTCAAATTAAAAATGTGACATGTGGGTCCACTGAAACTGTAAGGCATGAAATATAACATAGTAGAACAGAGACATGTGAACTCAACTTTCATCAAACTCAAGTTTCCAATTAAAGAAACATCTCTACATTTTCATAACTAAAGAGAATAAAGATAAAAAAACATGTATAAATATATTATCTCTCTCTTGATTTTCTTCATTGTACATTACCTGGTATAGTAGGATAAAGAAACCGTTCAATTCAATAGTTTAAAAACAAAAGTAAAATTAGATTTCTGAAAGTAATTGTTCAGTCAGTATGTAAAGATATATTTCACAACCAAAAAACAAATTCAATATTAAGTACCTTATGAACTGGGATTAAAGAAAGTGACAAGGATATACAAAGAGAATGCAGCAAAAATAATATATAAAATTAAAAATAGAGGAACTAGGTAACATAAGTAGGATTTGAGGTTCTTACAGTAGTGAGCATGAAGATAGCTGTCCTCAGGGTTGTAGCATCATGAAGTCTGGTAGAAGTTTACTGACGATTCAGGACTCATTAGAAGCAAGTTTAAATTAAATAGAAGGGCAGTTAATGAGAATGGAAAAATATAAAGGCTAGCTGAAAATTACAAGGAAAATATTATGCTACATAATATCATGCAAAAGAAGAAATTATATATACATAAAATAAATCATCAAAACAGCCATTTTCTGGGTCATAGCACCATGCAGTCTGGTAGAAATTTATCCATAACCTCTGAAACATTCGTAAACTTCTACCAGACTACACAGAGCTACAGCTCAGAAGACAGCAATCTACATACTCACCACTGTGAGCTCAAATCCCTCAAAATAAATCATGTTTAATTTCTCACAGTATAGTTATGCTTATCACTTTAAATTATTAATGTTTAAAGGTAATCTTTTTCTTGGTGTCAAGGCAGCCAAGTATCACGTTAACCATTCATGTCAATCCAGCACTGATGTTAATAATGTGTGGAGCTTTACATCTTACACCTGTATACACAACATTATAGCACTGGGTTCCCACATCAGCTAAAATACCATGCAGCAAAGCAACATACCTTGTGCTGCATCTTTGTATCTAATGGATTCTGATACCATGCTGTTTCTGCAAAGCTTCCCAACTCTGTTTGGAACTGCAGAATCCATTCAATACTTCTTGTAAAAATCTGTGGTTCAACATAAAATAAATTTTCCCAGTCTTGAAAGGAAGCATGTTTAAAAATTCGGATAACCCATGATGTGAGCCTGCAATAAAAATTAATTTTCTGTAAAAGAGAATACTTACATAAACAAACAGGCTCACATATCATTTCCACTTTATTTGAACAGAGGATGAACTGATGAGGGGTAGGAGGAATGTGGTGATGGTGGTACTAGCAGTATTGTCTTACTGTGGTAAATAAGGAAAATAATAAAATACAGACACCACTGTAACATTAATCAAGAATGACATGCCATGGGAGAGAGTGACTGTTGACTGTTCATATGGAGGTAGCCTCATATTCATGTGGAGGAATTGAGAAGAACCATGAGAAACCTAAATCAGGATATTTAGTCTCTAACTATGATTTTAAATGGTTATCTCCTGAATGTGAATTAGATATACTACTGCCACAACAACCCATTTGGTCTAACAGTATCACTAAAAGACAACTAATTTTTGTTGATGGAACGTGCAACAAATTAAATGCAATTTATTAGATTGTTTGGGGTACTAGCAAAGAATCTTCACCATTCATGTCATAACTAACTCCATGAAGCAGAGCTCTTCTTCAAAAACTAAGCTACTTAGCCCTTTGTGGGACTCAAAGATACATTACAGTGTTCACAAGAGCTAATCACTGGTCCCTATCCTAAGCCAAATTAAAATAGTCCACTTCCTCATGCCTGTTTTATTAAGACCCATTTTAATATTATCCTCCCATATAAGCCTAAGTCCCTCAAGTGGTTTCTTCCAAAGTCTGAAGTCCAGTGTAACATTTTGTTTACATGCTGGTCTTTTTACAGTTGAAGTTGTTAGTTCCCTGTACAACCACTATACTGGAGGACAGTCTTTTGTCGGCTGTCTGCACTGCATATTTAATAGATTTTCTGGTACCCTCCACATGTAGGCTCCATCTCCTTCATTTGCAATCTGAGGGCATGGGCATGTCAAGCTGTGGTCACACAGGACCCACTTAACACAGATTAATTTAGGGATAACCATTTCACAGAGTTTATTTTTAACTCTCAAATCAAAAAGTCCACAGACTCATTCCTATGACAACTTGGCAGAAACAAGTCAGAAACCTAAAGGAACAAGAAGAGCAACATTGTGTCCCCTATTGTCTAACACTGTTTGGAAGACTACTGTTGGAACATCTCTGTTATTCCATTTTAAAAATTACTGAAATTCAAATTGTATGCATATCAGAATTTCTCTTCATCATTCATGAAATCTGAGAACATCACTTCAATAATTTACTTGTTTACAAACTTCCCATAAAGATTTATGATGCTCAAGCCATGAGTATTCTGTAACTGGCCACTGAGAAAAAAATATTTTCCTTTCTAAGCCTTGTGTACAGTTATAACTGCAGAAGTTTATAATATTCATTCACACAGAATTCATACTGGGACCAGCTGGTTCCTTTCTGCTACTTTTAATAATTTATTTATATCCACAAATAGTGACTGAAAATATTTATGAATAGAAATAAAAGAAATCTAAAATACAATATAAATTAGGAATACAAAACAACATTCAATCATAACACAGTGTACAGCACCAACTGTGATGGTTTCTTGTAGTCCAGGAACTAAGAATTCTCAAGTGCAGAGGATAAAGAAGTACATTAAAGACAATACCCCCAAAAGCATAAATATTTATCAATGTGTTTCATTAAATATACACCAATATCAAAATAGTTTTAGAATTAAATTACAGATCTAAAATGAGATAAACAGTTTTATTTCACAAATGATTATTTTGTACAATGAGCCATTTTTATAAATTTAATCAAATTCATCGTAAGTTTCATATCAAGTAGGGCCTTGTTATGGATCACAAATCTGCCTCGAAACATTCCCCATTATAAAACTTCATCAAAATATATTAAGTACTTTTGGAGGTTAAATGTGCAGATAGCAGGCAGTCAGACAGATACAGAGAGACATTATTCTGCATTATCTATTCATACAAGGAGGTACAAAAGCCAACACAGTAAACAATATAGCATTTCATTTATTTATCTAGAAAGTTAATAAGCTTACCAGACACTTGGTTGCGAAGTGTCCCAATTCTTAAACCAGCCTTTCTTATCAAATCGTTTCATTACTTGAGCAAATATCACATTCACCTCTTCAAGCACCTGTTTTGAAATATCCCATTTCAACTGATTCGTGAGGCGGAGATAGTGAAGGGTCCATATATTAACTGCAAGTTCAAATATTCTTCCATCTGTACCCTTAAGTTCTCTCCTTAACACAACTCCAGCTGTGAGAGGCACTGCAGGAAAAGCTGGTCCTATTATGTCACCTATGCATAATATAATAATGTTGTATCAGCTATGGAGACCATACAGAGTTAAACGAAAAGTGATACAACAATTGTAAGTGATGAGTTAGGAGAAACTTGAAGAGTTGTAGCCTAGTTAACATTTGTCATACAGAATTTAAATCCACATGTTACAGGGCTGTTGGCCAGACTTTAGCTTCAGGGTTAACAGTTTAGTGGTGTGCTGCACAGATAGCTGGATCACACATAAAGTGCATTACATGGATGATAAAGGTTAAAGATACTAACCAGCCATTATGAGCAAGTACTTTTTGATTTTCCAAGGATTTTCATGGTGAGAGGAAATTGTTTAGAAACATGAGATTATCCAGTACAGAAACATGCAACCAACTAAGGAAATATATTGCATGAAGTCCTGTTTCTTAAGATGATTTTTAGCAGGAATACATTATAATATCAGTAAAATCAATAGAACCAACAAAAACTGCATAAATTACAGTTAAAATTTTTCAAATAATATAAATTTGTGATTTCATTATATTTTATAAACACTATTAGATAACAGAATAATACGGGTTAACAGATGGTTATACATATAAAAAATATATATGGCAATGAATTATTGTTACTTTCGGTCTTTATTAAATAATATTTCTATGCATCCTATTTAAATTTTAGACAAGAATTTTTGACCACTTACCAGTAACTGTAATGTAACCACTAGTGCTTCCATAAACATAGCGTCTCCATGACTGGTATGGAATTATGGGGGATTCCTCCACATATATATCCAGATACTGCAGAACAAGTGCTTTATTTTTTAAATCCAAATACACTGCAGTGTGTTTATTTATCATTGCACCTTCACCCTTGAAACATAAAATCATTTTCTAAATACAACACTCATTAGTCAGCCTAAACAGATTATATTTGTCAATTTGTAATTATTTGTAACATTCTATAAATAAATAGCAAGTACTGATCTCTGATTCTGAATCATCCCCAATATCTGAAAATACTGAAACAAGATAAAGGAATAGCAATTCCAAGTGAGCTTCAGAGTCATAATATTATTTTCAACATATGTTTGCATGCTCTTTAAAAACTACAAAGTGGTAGTATTTTTTTAGTACTATCAACATCAAAAGAATTCCATAATTGGAAGGTCTGAAAACACTGTATACTGTTTTAGATTAAATCTGGATTATAGTAAAGCAAATTTAAAGCCACCCCACTACACACCATGTAGGCGCTTAGGGGGAGAGGAAGTATAGCTCCTGCTCATTCTCAACTTTGGCACCAGATGGGGGTGAGTGGTCAGCATCATGCTTCGGCCACGCTTCACCCCTCGTACCCATTCAACAGGAGGCTGGGTGGGCCCCAGAGCCGGTCTCGATGCAGAGGCTAGAGGAAAAATCCTCTGCCCCCGTCGGGGATCGAACCCTGATCACCCAGCCCATAGCTAGTCACTATATTGACTGAGCTATCCCGGCTCATAAATCTGGATTATACTGGCCACAAATTTCAATGTTTACTTACAAGTACAGTAATATTGTGGACAAGTTTACTTCCGCCAACTTGAGTCATGGCTGAAATAGTTACTGCAACGTCTCCTTGCTTCACCACAGGAGCCACAGGCATATCGACATGTAACTGTTCTCCAGCAGGTAACTGTAGAAGAGAAATACCTAGTTTTCATATCTTTTAATATCAATATGTTATACCGATATTAAAAGCAAAAGGTATGTTACAAAAATGGCACCACATATGATTCACTGGCTATTTTATAAATTTCTGTAGGTGCTGTTATATTTTTGGAGTTTCCAAAGAGGACTAATTTCTCTTATTTGAATGCATGCATACCAATAGAAGACTAAATGTCACTGATTTAACTGGATTAGGCTCATCTGATGCTGAAATCAAAATCACAAATGTTGAAAGGTGATAATTTTTTTGTATTTCACATCTAAACCATGTACATCATGTCCATATTCAAATCAGATTAACACAAAGAGTTTGAGAGTAAAAACCAAAATATTGTCCTCTCAGAAGAAAGGTCAGTGAAGTTACAAACTGTGTTAAGCCATAACATCCCTTAGACAGACTTCTAAATGCTTTACCTTATGAGCAGCACATAAAAAGCAGAAACACTCCACACTGTGAATCTCAGCCATCACAGCTGCATATTTCAGTGTATACATGTATTTTTAAAAAGTTATTGGACAAATTATGACGATTCAGTTTTAAATTTTTGCATTATAAAAAAATCATGAATTTTAGTTACTTAAATGGCATTTTAAAACTAATCATTGTGCAGTTTTATGCGAAATAAATAAAACATTTTTGAAGTGTTGAAGTAATTCTCTGGATTCTCTCAAAATTTAAACTCAATGTATTGATTTTAATTATACTAATGCTAAATTAATTAACCTTCTATATCCATATTAATACTAGGTCCATTGCAAAATCTTCTTAAAACTCTAAATACTCATCGGTTCAAGAGAAAGAAATCCAAAAGTTCATCATCATATTATAAAAGCATGACACTGCTTCAATGTCTTGCTTTTTAAAAAAAATACATACAGATTTCATTGTAGGTAGTTTTAAAATAAAATGTTCAACTTAACCAAGACTCCCAAGCATGTAAAATTAAAAGGTAATCAAATCACTTCTTTACAGATAAGTTCTATAATCCATCAAGAATTAATAAAGCATACAAAACTATAAACACTATAAATAATTATCTACTTTAAGAGTTTTTACACTTAGATGTACAACAGTCATTTCACCACAGTGGTCATGAAAAACCAAGGTTATTAGTAATTTACAGCTTCACATCATTACAGCTGAATAAATGTAGTCAACACCACACACCAGCCTCATTACTCCTGGTGATAGAGCCTCTGGTACTTATTAGATGTGATACTATTAGATCCCAGATCCATTATGAGGTGATAATGAAGAAAATAATCTTAATGTTCCCATAACAAACTAAACTCTGGTCATCCAATTTGTAGCCATTCAATTTATTGACTAATCTATGCCAGTTCATTGTGTAAGTTCCTTAAACATAACCCCTTACGTAAACAAGATGCTGGTGATCTCCTCCTGAAAGCCTTGCCCCATAACTTGTGACAATGCCTCCTTCTTCCACGTGAACAAATTTATACTGTGGGGAGGCATGAAGAGTCAAAACAACAAACATCTCATATGGCTCATTGTTCAAAAGCAACAGCCTCAAGCCAATCTGTTCACCATGATGACACACAGTTGGGCCTTCAATGTGCATCATAAATGGCCGAGTACTGGAAAACTGAAAACAAATTTCTTTTACAGTTTCCTACATGTTAAAAAATTACACAGGAACAAGTTACATCACTTAGCAAAATTAAATACTTGCTGCAATTGGCGTGTCAATTGTGGTGAAGCCTCGAACTCTGCCAAGAGTGAAACCAGTGAAGTACCATTCATCTGTGACAGCTGGCATGTCCATTGTGAAAAACTCCTCCCCTCCAAACTCTCCATTCATCTCCTTCCAACCCCAGTCATTACCTGCAGTATCATACATCTCCTAGGCCACATGTAAGAGTCATGAATGAATTTGTTATTGTCCATCTTACACAACATATTATCTAGCTTCCTAGGTTAAAATCCCAGCTCAGAGATGAGTTATCCTGATTGACGTTTCTAGTGATTTTCCTCAGTCCCTTCAGGAAAATTCTGCCATAATCGCTTCCTTTAATCTCCTTTCCAATTCATTTCTCACTTTAATCCTATTATCTGATGCTATATAGTCCAGATATTGAAAGCATCATTAAAAAAACTATAAAATTATATAAATGACAGCTTATCACTTAACATCATAATATTTAATATACATAAAACATGTTTTGGGTCTAGGAACCCATACTTAGGTAATTTCCTTTCTAGCATTACTACATTCTCAATGGACACTATAAATGCTAATTACCTTGACCAGATGTTAAAAGTCTTTTAAACTGTATCTTGCACCACTTGACTGAGCATAAAAATATGACATAAAAACAATTAAAAATGTGTACAGTAAGACCAACTATAAGCAACTGTTCTTAAATTTTAATCAGAATATTGTAATTAATAATTAAATTCTGTGTGGATCACCAAAATACACTTTCATTTATGATTAAAATGTTAAAATATTGGCCACCCCATCTGAAGACTGCAGACTATGACACCCATGGATAAGTCACTCAGCTCAAAGCACAACTATGGAAAGATGAACAAGTACAAATATGAGTCTGCACTCTGCATGTAACATAAAACCAAAAATGTAAACTCTGCTTACATCAGATCGACTCATTCTCAAAATCCTGTATTTATATTGGTCATCATCTTGCAAAGAACCTGCAACACACCATGAGCATGAACAGTACATTTTTACATTCACATAAAATACATTATTTAAAATTAAATGTGTTAATATTTTGGCTAATACAGAACAAACCACTAACATTTCAGTGTTTGATATAAAGCTTAATTTGCTAACCTTAATTAACACTTCTTGATCACCAATACAACTGGTACAGATAGTATACCAGATTGTGTGTGCATGCGTGCACACACACTTTTTATTTGATGGAAAGTGAACACTATTTATACCAATATGCAGAATGAAAGTAGTATTAAATTGGAAATTGTGGCAATAAGTTGTCAGGATCTGGTTTAAGACAAAGTCCAATAAAGGCATACCTAAGAGATATTGCAGGTTCAGTTCCAGACCACCGCAATAAAGCGAATATCGCAATACAGCGAGTCGCACAAATTTTTTGGTTTCCCAGTGTATATAAAAGTTATGTTTAATGGTAACAGTAATAAATATTTAGGTTCCATAACAGCAGATAGGTGTCTGAACAGCTGAATAACTACTGACTGATCAGGGACAAAAGTTAACAGGAACTGACAGTAAAAAGTGCTGTAATGTAAGGGTCCATGTTTGTCTTCTGGGTTGTAATGCTGTTATTTGTGTATAGAGGTGAATTTTTCTACAATCCAGAAGACCAATACTGTCATTTTCACCACCATACAAACCACAAATTTCATATGCTGTAATGTACACTTACAGTCACTTTCATCAGACCAATCTTCACAGTCATTATAGCCATCACACATCTTAATTGTCAAGAAGCATCCTTCACTAAAACATGGTTTATAACCTTCCTTTCCTCTACAAGTATCTGCAAATAAATTGTGTATGGTTATGAACATATAATAATGAAGTGTAAAACAATATCAACAGTACATACTGAAAAATATTCCATTAAAGTCAATGTAATATCTACAACCAACTATGTGTTACAGCATCTTGGTTTGCTCATGAACACTAGTTTTGTTCAATTACATTTTAATCGAAACATGTTGGCCAGAAAATATTCACATCATGATCAACTTCCAAAAACATGATTGAGATTTGTCATCCATTCTTGTAAGAAGCATAATTCATATATATGTGGATTGACAGTGAATGAACAGAACTTATCTACTAGTACAACTAACTCTGACTCAAGAGTAAATAGTTTCCAACATAGCAAACACAAAATGCCCTGAAACAGAGAGATGTTCTATCACCACTACTTTTCAGTTCCACCTTAGAATATTCCATCATTAAAGTCCAAGAAAATCAGAGCTGGGAAGGCCTAATCATATGTGGGAGGATAACATTAAGATGGACCTTAGGGAGATAGGAATTGATGGAATGAACTCGATGCATATAGCTCAGGATAGGGTACAGTGGCAGGCTTTTGTGAACAGTGATGAACCTTCGTGCTCCATAAAGAAAGTGGGCTATTCTTTGATAATCTGAGCACACATTCTACTTTTCAAAGAATTTCCTGCACCATAGAGTAGTTAGTAAGTGGAAGCAGAGGTTATCATAAAGGGTACTTCCTTTCATTACACATTTATTCTAGTTTACAAGAGTTTATGACTTCATTCCAAATGGTAAACATTAAGTCTTTTACTGATCACTGTAGTTAAGAGATCAGCACTCCTACTTTGTATGCAGGAGGTTCTAGTTTCTGATTCTCAGCCCACAATCCAGCAATCAAAACTAAGGTTTTCCTCAGTTACTTCTGTCAAATACTAGGAAAGGCAAATAGAGTAATAATAGTAGTGGACTTTAAAGGGTTAAGGATCTGTTACCAAGAAGGAATTGAAACCTGAACTATGACACAGATATTCAGCTATTAAATCTGCTTGTTTAGTTAAAACAAATATTATTGCTTACCAGCTAATTCTCTAATTGGTAAGTATGCATCTGTTAAAACAACTACACCAGAAAATCTTAATGTCTCATAGCTATTCAGTCCATAGCTCATGCTTGGAAAATATGAGACCTCATCAGGAATTAAGCCTTGCCTTGATCTCCACTTTACTTTTGGTTCTGATCTGAAAACAAAAATAAAAAAGAAACATGAAAAGTAAACTCACGATAAGAAACATTAGTTTGTAATGATTCGAAATTACTGTATTAAAAAACATACCTTGTGAAGTTTTCAAATGCAAAGAAGCTCTCTGTGATACGAGATCTGCTAATATCATTCCCCGCTTGCATGAAATACAAAGTGCTTCTCATTGAATTTATTCCCATAAAAGCTCCAGCATTGGCAGTCATTATAGCTTGTGCTGTCTTTTTCGTATGGTCTTTGCCCTGATTCACTTCAAGAGTTATCTACAGAAAAAAATATACCAGCTAAATTGTATTTAATTATGTAGTCTAAGCTCATCATCTTGATGATGGAAGCAGCAAGGACTTATGAAATGTTAGTGAACTTCTACCAGGCTACACAGCACCACAACCCAGAAGACAAGCCATCTTTGGACTCATGAAAACACCAAGCAGTATCTTCTCTCAATATTTCCTGGCCAAAATTTTGTTTGCATTCTTATTTCCTCCATGTATGCTAAACATCTTGACCATCTCACCCTTTTTTAATTAAGCACCTTTATAATAATAGTATTACGTGAAGAATACATATTATGTAATTTTCTGTAGCTTCCTGATACATTCTCTTTCTTTCTTGTTTTATTTATTTGTGATCTAATTAATTATGATGTGAGTACTGTAACTATGTAGATTCAAATAATGTCTTCAGCGTTCTGTTCCCAAACACATTCCCTCTGTGTAAAATTATAGTTGTGTATACTTCAATGCAAGAAATCTCTCTATCTTACCTCATACCCATTAAAACCTATGACTGGAATAAACATACTGTCTGCAATAAGTTCTGCATGCAGTGTCACATGGTAAACAAGAAGTGTGAAGCCTGGGGCCATATTTTGGTCTATGGGCAGAGCAAAAGTAGTTGTAGAACCAGGACTTTCCACAGTCTGCTTGTCAGCAAACAAGAGAAGACCTTTAGTAAGTACCTATAAATAATAATCACATCATTTAAATTAAATTTCTTGAGACACTCTAAAAATAATTTTAAATTACTTATGTATTTCAAGTTTTTAATGCAAATAGCAGATATGATGCTTTATTTTTTAATTCTTGTACTAAATATTACATTATGGAATGTAAATATTGTAAAGCCATCCTTGTGCTGTAGCACCAGTTCCATAAAGGCAATAAGGGAGTGTGGTGATAAGCTCCATACAATTTTATATGAAGCACTAGCTAGAGGATAGTGTCCACTTCTATGTTCCTATCACTTTTAATCCAGGAAAGAAACCCTCAGAGCCATTTTGAACAGATATGGAAAAGACAAAAATCCCAATACTAGTACACCAACTGGGAATCAAGCTGAAATCTGTCAAAACTGTCATTTCACTGACTTGAGCTATCATGGTTCCCAGAATATAAACAATAACTAGAAATAATCTCTGATAGATAATGTACATAACTGATTTTTTATCAGTGCATAGCTCAATTTGAGGATCTGTCAATCTCATCAAGTTGGAAGGATAAAAAATAGGAAAAACATTTTTCATGAATGCCAAATCTTTTAAAAACACAATATTTAACATCATCTTACCACATACTGAAAAGACTGAAGAATAAAATTTGTCTTCACATGGAACACAGCAAATTCCCCTACTTCTGCATTAGTGGAGCTTGATCGTACACTCATATATTTCTTGTTTGGAGAGTAATGTTGAGTGGCTTTCATTTTAGCCTGCACATTACCTCCCTCTGCATCTTCATAGAAAGCTCTCAGAGTTAACTCTGATACTTTGGGTGGAACATCAAATTTGAAGTACAAAATTCCTTCCTCCCAGTATCGTTCCATTGAAAGAACATCAGCATATTCGGTTCCATAACTCCTGCCACCGTTCCATTCATTATCTTCTAAATCAGTTGATATAAACTGTTTTTGCACTGGCAGAGCCACTATATCAGGAAGACTGACAGTACTGCCACTCTCAAACTGAGCAAGAATCTCAATTCTTAATGTTGACTGAGCCAATGTCTCACCAGAGAGACGCTCACCATCACTGTATGCAACAATCACCTGAACATACAGAAATTATACAGAAATGTCAATAAAATATTCTCAGATTATGTTTCTTGAATACCTGAAACATAAATATAATTCAGTTTAGCCAGAAGTAACAGATGTGTGCAATGGAACTCTGTATAAGTGAACTGTAGTCCTTTGTGGTACTGCAGAATCAGATATACTGTGGGAATAATCATCCTGCTCAAGACAATTATGTCTTATTTGTTGTTTTCACTTATAATTTGATTACCTTTTAACATGCCAAACTTAAAATGCAAGTGTTAAAGCTGTCCCTTGACACCCTTAATATAACATGGGTCTATAAACCCTTACATGATTTTCAAAAGCATTTTTGGTAAAAACCAGTATTATATTATATTAATAATATACTCCAATGCAGATTCATTATATAACTAACCAACTAACTAGATGACTTACCGAACCCGAAGGTTCATCACCGAATTAACCAAAGCCCTCCACCGGACACTGTCCTGGGCCATGAAAATCCAGCCTCCTTCAGCTTCTATCTCCCATAGATCCCGCCTGACATTATCCTCCCATCTACGTCTAGGTCTCCCCAGCGTTCTCTTCCCCTCAGGCTTCCTAACCAATACCTGGTGCACACCTCGTCCCATCCAAGGGCGCTACATGCCCCGCCCATCTCATTCTTTTTGACTTAATCACCCTGACAATACTGGGGAGGAGTATAAATTTTTAAGTTCGTCATTATAAATTCATTATATAACATATTTATATACCTGAATATATGTTCTGTTATTACAATGTTACTCTTTTTTAAATAGACAAAAATATCATAACTGCCAAATTTACAATTGAAACATAACCTCTGTTGATGACAGACGGTTGGAAAAAAGTCTTTCAATCCTACAATCATGTATTTTTACTTTATACTCCATTTTCCAAGAATGCAGTCACTGTGTAAATCACAGTATAACTGTACTTCTTTAAATTAATCCAAATTCTTGCACAAATCAAGCAAGCACAGAATAGCAAATAGTGTATATGTTACCAATCAGCGTGGAGAATTTCTATTAATTTCTATTATCTTGAGACATACTTAAAAACTCACAAGTGGCCATTTACTTCATCATGGCCATCCATTCACATGCAATAATACTAGAATAGCTGAATAAATTCTTATGAAATGTTGCTATGGACTATGCACTATGCAATACACTATGGATCCTTGCTAAAATGTATCATTAATAGTCATTTGCAGGGATTCTTATTTTAATGTAACCATCTTGTATTTACATCAGTATCAGCTCGTGTTTGAGTGATATTTTCTTGTAAGCTGGAAGTGGAACAAACAATAATCTCTGTCTAAAACATTAAGACATTCCTGATCTTAGGACATTCCCGAACAGAATATGTTTCATTTTAATGAAGTAGGTAACCTTATATAAGTCACTTATAAACAACCAAACTTTTGGATTGGAAAATTTGGTCTCCACTGTAAAAGAGAGATGAAATTTTGATAAGTGTATGAGATGCTCAGATACTCAAGGTGTCATGATCACATATGGACATGTTCATTTGTTTACTTATGAACTAATTTTTTTTCTTACTATATTCTCCTTCCTTCACTATTGTTCAAACTAAGCAATAGTTTCTGCCTGCCTGTACAGACAATATCATTATTTACTGTCCACACGTGAGTTCCAAAACCCTTCCATAAGCACCACATATACAAACCTGTTCTGTGCTACAATACAGGAATAAGTTATCCTCACTAAATGGATATACGCTAATGAAATATTTATTTTTGTTTCTTTATAATAATAAATAAAGTTGCCTATCCTTATAAACTGACATACATGCCCTTCAAACAACATTCCTGGTTTGAAGATCATTGGTGATGCTCCAAGGAAATACAAGTTAATTAAACCACTGATGATGCGTGTGTGGCTGAAGCCCATCATTGTCTCCCCATACAGGTATTCTGTGACTTCTGCTTCCAAACGTAACACTATGCCTTTCAGAGAACCCAAAATACTTTCCACAAGATCCATAGGTATCAGCACATCATGTTTTCCATTTTTCTGCAACAGCACAAATGTTATTCGGTCAAGTTGTGATGAAAAACAAAAAAATAAAATATTTTAATTTGAAATTACATAAACCCAAAGGTCTGTATGAATCCTATGCATTTATGAACATGATAGATGAAGTTACAAATGGTCAGCAAATTGAGACAAACCAGCAGGGAGGACAAAGGTTCATTCTGAAATACAATGAAGCCCTTATAACACAAATATCTGTAAGCAAAGAGACCTGTGAAAAACTCCTTTAAGACACAGTCCTTGTTGTTCACTATTCAATGTTAATGCATAAAATGACCGAAAAATATGTCTATTACAACTTTAAAGACATTTTGGTAGTTATGGTTCTCAAAACATATTGTCACAGGAGTCTGTATATTATATGTCAATTTTTTTCTTTTCTTCTGTTCTGATAATGTCTTATTTTTGACTGAGATGTGAAAACCTGTCTCCTTCACCTGCTTAACTAATTAGTTGCAATGAATATAATACCTCACCTCCTCTGAGCTGAAGACATGAATAATATTACAGAATTTTTTCTGACAGTCTTTTATGTCTTTATAAATTAATTTATTTACTCAGAGATCAAACCAGAAACATTGAATGCCACAATACTAGGAGACAGGTGACCCATGCATGCAAGAGATTGCATGTACATAAGTGAATTCCACTGGAGTTGAAATTACTGTTTCACACGTGACTTCAATGTTAAATAATTACTATTTTCCTACTTGCTACCAAGAAATTATTCTACCAATTCTTTTCAGTATAAGTATCTAAATTGTGAAAATAATGACAGTAACCACCTGACAGATGTTAATTTGTTTAAGATGTGCTATTGCAGTGAAGTTTCATTTTGCACCTTCTCTTTGTGCAGACTCATGCACTGGTGTACTGATTATTTCCAACTCACCATAGATGTTTTATCTTCCCAAATCAGCTTCTGACTGTCATTTTGCTTTAAATATTTGCCATACATCCTAAATGTTGCATTGCCTCTAGCTATTCTTTCCATTGCTGAGCGAGCAGAAATGCTAGCACTAACATACTTCTCTGTGTCCAAGGTGTATGCTGGCAAGGAGACATGTACCTATAAACATTTTATTTACTCATATCAGGCTAAGTTCTTTACTGAAATCTTTATTATAACACTCCAAAATAGTATAAGAAAGCCAATACTGTACCTCATACCTCGAACAAAGGACTGAAATAGTTTTCTACTCTAATATTCTGATCTTCTATCTGACCCAAAGCTTCAACACGAATCTTCCAAAAGCCATCATTTATAAGCTGCGGCAAAGTAAATTTGTGACTTATGACACCTAAAATAAAGATTCTGTGTAATTATTAATGGCATAATAGAAATAAAGAAATTTTATGTATTACAGTGACTCTGACTTTTAATCCAGATGTGTGAACAGTTTCATGTACAATAAACAAAAGGATCTGAGAGAATAAAAAGGGCTTTGTATCACCGATTATACACTGACATTTTAAAATCATTCAATGGTATGTACTACAGGATGCATTAAATATTAACAGGACTTTAGGCAAGCGGGTGCTTCTTTATTGCAAACGTCCCTAACTACGGTCTAAGAGAATTACCTGACCTCAGTCAAACCAGTGACATGAAGGAATCTACTTCTATTGCACATAATGTATTCTGATACTCCCACTTGTATGAAGGCAATGAGAAATAAGAACTTACCATTGTTTATCTGAATTGAAACCCATCTTCTCATGATTAAACCATCAGAATTCTGAAACAAACAAATATCGGACATGAAAAACCTATTTTCATGCTCTTTCCAGCATATTCAAATTCTTGCATTTTCATTAATTCTTTTATAGCAATATTGGTATAAAACTGTATTCCCATAATATGACTAGTTTCTGACAGCTGCAACATTATAACCAAGACTGAGGAGTGTAATATTTATATTCAAACTGGCCAAACCTCTTACCTGCCCAATTCAAATTTGCTAATTTTGTATACATATTTATTTAGTCTCCCTCATCCGGCCTATGTCCAAAGCAAACTGTGACCTACAGTTCATACACTAACAATATTGGGTGTTGTGTAGAATTCACAAAGTTCCCCATTATACAAAATATAAATCTGAAATACTTACTTCATCTATTATAGTTCCAGATATTTCCTTGAGCACTTTATTTTCAAGCATTTATAACTCATATTATTCCCACAAAACAAGACTTATTTCAAATCCAGTCCACACCCTCATATCCTTGTACTTTATGATCCATTTTAATACTATCCATGCATCTAAGCCTAGGTCTTCCAAGCGGTCTCTTCAAATCTGAAGCTGCGTAGCATTTTATAACACGCTAAATTCTTACAACAAGGGGCTGTTAGCCCCCTGCCCAACCCCAAAGCTGGAGGACCACTCCTTGTAGAAGGGTTGTGACAGCCTGTTCAACATGTTTGGAGCAACCATCCATAACCAGAATTTTATGTACCAACTAAGGACATGTCATGCCAAGTTGATAAAACCCATCTCACTTGGTATTTCCAAACAATAAACAAAGCTAACACTAAAATCTCAAATTACATACATACATTTTACAAAAACCATCACTATATTTTTCAACTTACCAAGATATAAACATTTGCTGAGTCTTCAAATGGTTTCAACTCAGTTGTAAGAAGCAGCACTCGGAAGTGAACTAAAACAGGCAAGAGAACTTTACCATACAGTAAACAGAAAATATAACTAACAAATAAACTCCATGGAGCAGAGAGATTCCTGAGACGTCATTAGTACACTCAACTATATAAGAAGTTCCCTGCCTTTTGTGGTACCTGGAGGTTCGTCACTGTGTTCACGTCCCTTTCAAACCAAAATTTCTCTACAAATTTCCCATCTCCCACATGCACAGTGCATGTCCCACCTATCTCATCCTCACTGATAGAGAATCTTTCTTATTTCTTGATAAGTTACCTAACACTCATCAAATACACTGCCATTACCTATGTCTTCAAAATCTGAAGAAAGAAAACAACTCAATAACAGTACAGAAAATAAGTGTATTGTATTCTGTAACTGTGATGAATTGATCTCATAGTTCTCTAATAAAAATTAAATTAATATTTTAAACTGTTTATGCTGCAGAATGCCCCCAAATGTTTTATGAAGTGCTTTCAGATTTACTCACCAACTTGTCCTGCTTTATAAACTGGACGACTAGTCTGTATAACTATCGAGAGAAACTGAGGAGAGAAAACGACCTCCGTTTCATTCATGAACACAGTTCCTCCATGGGTGTGTGGGTAGTTTCCTTCTACCTTCAGTGTGTAGTGACCTGCTGTACTCGATGGAGGTATCTGAAATCATTCGAAACAAATTTGATGATGATGATGATGATGATACAGATATAGTGTCAGAATGTGGAAAACTTAAAAACACAGACTATATGAACAATTTTAAACATCGCCTTTCCCAACATCTGAGAGTAATGAATATGGATTATGAATTGTGTGTGATCAACTATAGCATGTGTGTTAGTGTGTTGCCTATTCACAATTCATCATAACTGATAAACAAGGCTACAAGATTCTTGTGTTTAGTCAACTTAAACGCATTCCTTGCAAAGAATATCTTTGATACATAATCACCTGCATAAATAGAGTCTGAGTGCTTGAAACAGGGATATTTTGTGTAGCTGAAGTAATTTCCACCTTGTCTTTTTTTAACTCTATCCTCACAGAAATGAATGGATGGTCCATTCCCAAGTTGTCCAATATAGTTACTGTGACTCCATACAGAGTTGCAGGACGAATTACATTAGGCGCAACAATCACATAGCATCTGAAACAGTTAATGCAAATTAATTTTAGATAAATTAAACCAATAAACCCTGTCTTAAATAGCATTTTAGCATCCATTCTCCTCTGCCTGTCAAGGGAGATATTGTCGTAGCAGTACAACGCAATTTATTCTCAGGTCAAACATTTATCATATTTCTTAGAAGGACTCATTATTAAAGAATTTTGTGCAACATTAAATACATTACATTTATTTGAAGCATATTTTTCTGTGGTGTATATTTTAACTAAATAATCTACAGTAGCAATGTTTCTGGGTGTTCCGATGCAATGTAAGAATGGGCCCCCTTACGTGAGTACATCTCACTCCCACATCATAACTAACAAAAACACCATAAGCGCTCATGCTTGCATTATTAATAACTTACTTTTTAGAGTACAGTGAAATTCAAAGGGCATTCTTCACGCAATAACACGCACAGTGACATCAGGAGGTTGCTCCGTTGATAACCACTGCTCAAAGAACTGTCGACTTACATCACAGCGTAATCAAAGAGCATAACTGTGAGCCAACAATGACCTCGGTTACCACTGTTGGGACACTGTATTCCAACAATGATCCCGGGTCATGAGGTTTTCCTAGTTCCTAGGAAGAAAGGGACAGACAGACATGGACAAGCTCATAGGCGTGAAGCGTGAAGAACGCCTACCAATCTTCATAACGTGCGAAATTGTATTTACGAACAGAAAATAAGAAATAATTTTCCTCGGTTTGTTTTTCTAAGAGGAACATTTTTGTATTCACCGTTTGTGTGTGACGTGCCGCTGTACAAAGTTTGGACACTCCTGTGAATAAATGTTCAAAAATAGAAAAAATTAATAGTTTTCCAGAGGTTGTCTCTGGAAGTGGAACATTATTATTTTTGCCGTTTCTCCGACGACATGAGGTTTTCCTCTTTCTTTTCTTTCTTTCTTTTTCTTTTTTCTCTCTCTCCCTCCACTGTCTAAAATTTCCCGTATTTTTCTACGACTTGCCGGTTAAGAGCAAGATGTTTTTTTTAGTTTGTCACCGTTTTTCTACTACGCGCTGTTGTATAAGTCTTGGGCAACCTTATGCCTTATTCTCGAAAATGATACAGTATAAACTTCTCCCTAGTTATCTCCCAAAAAGGATCGTTCTTCTATGACGTGCCGCTCTAGGCTACAAGGTTCTTAGTCATCCACGTGCCAAATTTTCGAAATAGGAAAAACGTCGAATTTTTCCTGGAGCTCTCTCCTAGACGAACATTTCTAGTTTTTGTCATCTTTATGACGCGTCGTTTGGGAGAAACAGGCTGG